GGAGCCGGCAGCGGTGTCTCCGCGCCTCGGTGACCCGTCACGGGCCTGGGTTTTCCCCGCAAGCCCTGTGCAGGCCCGCACACACAGCGTCCTGCGGCAGGGAGGCCTGTTGTTAAGTTAGGTGGTGTCTGAGCAATAACTTCCTTTTTCTTTCCTTACTTGACCGCTTCTGACTTCTTCCACCATCCTCTAGCTTCGTGCCAGATGAGACTGAAAAAGTTGCTGTAGCAGATCTCCGTTCTGCCCTTAAGTGTGTGCTAGGGGCCTTGTAGCTGTGATGGCCTGAGGACAGAAGCGGGGCACCTAAGCAGAGACGTTTTTCCTGCAGTGATCATAGCTGCTCAGATTAAAAAAATAGACAAGTTTTTGTCTTTCTCTCTTCCCTAGGAGATAATGACTTCTTAATCTCTCTTCCTCTCTCTGACATCCCCTCTACTCCACAGGTACCAACTGTCTTTTCTCTTAGTTGTTTATCTAAACTTGAAGGAATTTCCCTCGAGTTCTGTTTAGCTCAGATATTTGCTGCCTCCATGTCAAACCTGAAGTGTCTTTTGTGCCTGAAAACTTGCCTGTTCTCAGAAATGCCTTGGAAATGTGTCTTCAGGCACATCTTTAAAGTATGTGGGAACTATGTGGGTTGCCAACAGATGTTCTGTTGTTATTCCAAAATGTGATTGTTTAATAAATATGAATAGAGTACTGCTGTGTTCTGATTCTATACCATGTCTATAGTAACACTGTGTAGTCTGTTAACTTCTTATCTTCTTAAAAAATAAAACAAAAAAAACCCCTCTACCCGAAGCCCATTTCTGAATAGGATTGTTCTTTTTCTAGCAAAAGAAGTCAGTGCAAACTTTAACTGCCCTAAGAATTCACATTGCATGGGTTAAAACTCCCAAGCAATGACTCTGGGACTCCCTGGAAAGGAGGGGTTCCTGAAGCCGAACCCAGGCTATGTTAGCTTTGTAGCGTTCGTTTGAATGTAGACGAGGTGGGTGTGTATTGATAGATGAAAAATATTGAATTGTTATCCATGTCACAAAAGGATTGGAAGTTACTGACGTAGCACGAGTTTTTGTTACTCAGTTTGGGGGGGGGGGGAAATACATAGAGGGAAATCCCTTTTAATAATTTAAAAAGGAAAAAAACCCTCCACTTTGCTACTAAGTTCCATGAGCTGCATAGGTCACTCACTGTTAGAAAATCTCGTTTCCTTTCCTCCCATTTCAAAATCCTGTGTGTGTATAGCTGCAGTTTTACCATTTTCAGTTTCAAGAGCTGCTTGGTTCTTGCTTCTTTTCAGCTTAACTATGGTTTCTGACACAGTTTTCCTTCAGCAAGAAAAGAAAAATCTTATCCTACAGATCATTTCATGTGGCTTTGACATTTTATTTTGTATTCGATTTGCAAAATCCTCATTAATGCTATAAAAGATATATTTTGATACTGAAATTTTCTGTAAGCAGAAATTTGCAAATGGAGGAAATATTTATTGTTTCCTGTTAGCATTAGACCATCCAGCTTCAGTAGTTTACTAATTTGCTGGTAGAAGTGACTGAAATGGAGCAAGGACACTGACTGCATGAGATTTTGCTCCTATTCGGAGTGATTTCTGTTAAATACAGCTGTACACCTCTGTTTGCCAGAGCTGTGTCAGTTCTTTTGCAGAGCCTTAGCTGTGCCTCTGCACTTACTCAGCTGGAAGAAGTTAGAACACTCACGTTGAGTCACCTTCCGTATGATCAAAGTTGAACTCGTTCTTGTTTGCTAGGGTTTTTTTTCCGATGTATCTTGTGGTCAGTCATAACGTGACACCTAATCAGCTGCTTCTCTCCTTCCTTTTTGCAGTGTTATCAACACAATGCTGGTGACATGTGCTGTTTGCTGCTACCTGTTGTAAGTATAAATAACGTCTTGCTCCTTAATCAAGGCACAGTTCTGATGTAATCAAAAGTTCCTTTTTTATATCTTCAAGACGTCTACGAAGAAGCCTTTCAAATGTGTCACAGAGCTTTAGACACATGGTATTCTTTGACAGGTTTTAGAATTCTTAGTTCTGAAGACCTTCAACCTGCTGAAGAAGCAGTGGGTGGAAAACCTTATACGTGGGGGTTTTTTGATATATGACAAATAATTTTTGTGACAAACTTGTGATGCTTTGATATATTAAGGCTGTTTCTTTTTAAATGCACAGTATATTTTGAGGCTGCCTTTTTTTCTGTAAGAGAATTAGTAGAAATAACAAAATGACTTGTTGAGGAACTCCTCATACCATGTTTGGTTTTTTGGTTGTTTTTGTTTTTGTTTTTTGTCAAGAGGTATGCCAGCTGCAGCTGGAGTCTGCAAGAGAAAGCGTGGTTATTGTTTTCTTTCTCTCTCTCTCTCTCCCTCCCCCCCCCCCCCCCTCCCCTCTTTTTTTTTTTTTTTTTTTTTTTGTCTCTTTTTTTTCCTTTTAAGACTGTAGAGACTGATCTTGTCAAAGAAAGTGCTATGCAGAAATAACTTTGAAAGGTGTTTGGGAAGAATTTGGTATGGAGAGTAAATTGGTAAAAGTCTGGTTATAGATCTTTAGGGTTAACTTGAAATGAAATCATTAGTCAGAGTTCCACTTGAACCTGAGTAGTACTTATACTTTCCTGAAGTGTTTAGGCATTATTTATGCTACTCTAAGGAGCTCAATATGAATATTTAGAAAAAGGCATCTCTAATCTCAAGACTTGTTCTTAAGAACTGGCAGCCAAAAGCCATATTATCAGTGTTGGCACGTTCCAGGAGGGGCCTGTTCGGTTCCACCTTGGGCTGGCCTGTGGCACAGGCTTGTGCAGGTTTGATCCAGTTTAATCATGCGGTATTCAGGTGAGGCTTTTTTTTTTTTTTTTTTTTTTTTTTTATTCAGAGTATTTGACACGTGACATCTTAAGAAATCATTCTTCTGGATAATTGTGAAAGTACAGCAAACTTGGTTCTGTGTTTTGTATCTATGAAAGTTTTGTAAGTTAAAGTTTTGCTGAGCAGATGTAGAAACGTAAGAGCTTTGTGGTGCCAGCAACTTGAATTTGGGATTGAAATGTGGGAATCTCAGTGCTATGACGGCGTCCTTGCCTGCACATGAAGTATGTCACAGCCCAGCCTCACGGTAGGTCTGAAATGCTTGGCTAAGAAAGGGCAACTGGATGCTCGGTTTCACTAGGTTACTGCATTTAGGTTACAGCAAGTTGGTTTTATTTTTTTTTTTTTGGTGGGGGGTGGTGTTTTGGATTTTGTTTTGATTTTCTTTAAGTTTGAAGTTCTCCCTTAAGTTCTTCCTATTCTGTATTTTAACAGAAATAATGTCCTACTCTTCTAAAAGCCTTGAAGCTTAGGGTTTGTTTTCTGTATTGTTTGAAGAAGGACAGTTTCCTTGAAGTTGAGGCCACGTGGCATCTGTAGAATCCTCTGGATTATGATGTGGAATGTATTTGTTGTAGAATTTCTTAACTTTGACTGAATGCTGTGAACTCTTCAAATGTACAGTGGTATTTCACTTATAAGTTTAGTGATTTTTGTACCGAAACAGACCTCTTAAAAATCCAGTGTCATTAACATGATTTATAACCTGTTCTTACCTGTCCATTGAGGGGTTTCTTTTGTAATCTTGTGGGCTCTAACTTGGTTTCTGTATTCCCTTTGGCTTTCTCCAATTACACCTTGAAAAAAGAGAAGCAGCAAAATCTTACTGTGTTTTAAACCATCCGTAGTTATACCCAACCACATAAATTACATATATAATGTCTGCTTGGCAGAATACAACAAAAAGCAGATTTTTCTCCTCATGTTCCAAGATGGAACTTGGTTTTATACACAGTCTCTCTCTCTCTCTCTCTCTCTCTCTCTTTTTTTTTTTTTTTTTTAAATGAATTCTGTATAAAATCATAGAACAGCCCCGTTTGGAAAGGACCTCACAAGATCATCTGGTCCAACCCTTCTTTCCTCTATTTTATTCAAACATATGTAAGTTTGTTCTTCCCATATCCTTTTCTGGTGGAGGCACTGAAAAAATTTCAGACCTTAATTTCTTAAGAAATTCAGGCCTTAATTTTCCTTAAAGAAAGAGACTAATTTTTCATACCAGTCTTGAAGGAAGCCTGAAAGAACGGTTTCTGAGGATTCTTCGTTGGATATGTTAGGGTTAAAATAACTTGTGTGGTCCCAGGTATGGCCTTCTGTACTTGTGTGTCCTTAGCAGGTGGCTGGTGCTGTTATCGACTTCTTTTTAGAGTTAGTTTAGAACTCTGCTAGACCTATTTTCTTACTCTTTGAGTTACCTTTCCAGTTGAAAATAGGGGAAAAAACAATTTCCTGTTTTCATTAAACACCGCTTGATTGACAAATAGATTTGCATCAAACTGAATTTGTGCTAATTAAATTTGAAGTCACTCACGTTTCAACTGAAAGCTGCTTCTTCTGTGTTTAGATTTAACAGTGATCATTTTGAATAACGATATCGATCGCATGGTGTTAATTTGGTTGTTCTATGGAAAATTTTTGCATGGGTAAGTGCATAATTTGCGTACAGGTATTGTACCCAGCAGCCTTTTGAAGGAGAATACACGAGCCTCAGGAACCTGATAAAATATAAGGCAAAGTATAAGGAGTTACTGCTGCACAAATTATAGGTGGCACCATGTTGTAAGGTACTGCCAAAGTCTAAATCTATTTTGCTGTTTAGAAAGCAGTTCCTGAAACAATACCATGATATTCTGCTAACAGAGGGACAGGGTCCTTGAAAAATGGTGTTATTTGCTACTGAACCTAAAAGGATTAAAATATGGTTGCCCAAACTGACATTTAAACAGAGATAGCAGGACCTTAATTTGTAATAGGCAGCATAGACAGATGGCAGTTATGGCAGAAAGACCTTTTAAAAAATCTTTCTGGTAGAACATAAGGGACTTTAATTTCCTTGTCTGAGCTGGGTAATTAACACGAACTGTTGTAACTGGTATCTGGTAGAATTTAAGGACCCGTGGGTGGCTCGAATGCCATACCTGATTTTAGCAACTGTAGAACATTACACGTTGGATACAGAGGCTTGCTTTGTTTTACTTTGAATGCCGCGTTCTGTTTTGCGTTGTCATGATAGATTACTGTATAAAGCAGCATTGCTTTAGCAAAACGTGGGAAAAGCTTTTTTATGACTTATCTTGAATGCAAGGGAGTCGTAGAGTTCAGTGCCTAACTACTGCTTTAAATTATTAGGCCCTAGCAGAGCAGGGAGGAGGACTATGCTATTGACCTGTAATGCCACCACGGCTCGGAGCTTGGGTATCCAGCATGGTCCCAACAAATAGCTTTTGAAAACTGCACAGCGCTTGCCTAAAGCATGGTTATACAGCTGGGACACGTCAATATTTTGAATGTGCTTCCAGCTCATTTAATTCACAGCCATGCTGGGTCTGAACTCAGGAGGCAGAGAGAGGTGAGATACTTGTGCATTGACTTCCTTCCTTCTGTACAGTGAGAAAGAGAATAATGTGCTTTAACAGGCTTTTAGTGTTCCTACCCTCCTCCCACTTCTGTTAGTTCAGGATGCTGAAGGCAGATGGTACAGTGCTCTGGTACCCCTTCTAGCTGTCTTTTGTATGTGAAAATTAACCCTTGCAACATAAATTTCGTGGTATTTTTAAGAGCTAATTTGCTTTTCCCTTAAGTAAATGTCACAAAGTGATTAGCGTGGTTTCAAAATACGTTGTTGTTGTCCCTTTGGATAGCAAAGTAGAAACATGTCAGCCTAAAGGTTGTTGGCTCGTCTTGCTGGTGTCTTGCTGATGTTTTAATTGCTTTGTAGAGCCTGCTACATATTGCAAGGCTTGCGTGACCGATGGACTGCTGCAGGCTCAGCAGGTCGTTTTAACTCGAGTCCTACTTTGTGCAAAACTGAAAGCGGCATTGAAAATAAATATTTGTAAATTTTAAGAGGATTGATGCGTTTTCTTTAAGTCTGGCCCACGTCTTTTGCCCCTGGCTGTTGTAGCCATTTTACAGCAGACCTGCACTTCGTTTGCTGGTCAAAGCATCAAGGTTTGTGTGGAATTTTCCATGACTGCCTAAGCACTCTGATACATTTGTGGCAGCTCCCATTACAAAGCTGCTTTGCTTTTTCTCCTCCTTACAAAGCATTCTAGAAATAGCAGACAGATGAGCCAGTGTGTTCACTAAATGTGTTTATATAGTTAGTATTTAACATAGATTTAAATCCATGGAAGCATCCATTGCTTTTTCTGAATCTTGTAATATTTACAAAGCAAATGTATCTTTTAACAGTGGAATATTTATTTCTGTTTAGCTTTCCTGGATGTTTTCCACAAACGACATTCCTCTTGTTCTCGGTTTTGGCTATGGCTTCTGCAGTGTCAGTTTGTGAACTGCTCTGATGACAAGGCTGCTGTTGCTGATGATCCGGGGTTTCTTGTCGTATTGGTTTTGTTGTTGTGGGGTTTTAATTTGTGTGTGTGTGTGTGTGTGTGTGTTCCTGTAGCATTGTACTCCTTTGCTTCAGGTCCCTGTTTCTTGGCCTCTGTGCCGGGTTTAAATTGACTTTTGTTCAATCTTGGATGAAAAATATACCATGTCTGCAAGGGTAGGTTGTCATACGCTGAAAATAAGAGCAAAAGAGAGAGAGCATGTTTCTGAGAGGTTTTTGTTTAAAGGGTGCTTCAAAGGCACTGACAAAAGGTCTGTCTCTCTTACGTTTCTATTTTCTGAGCCCACAAATACCTGAGTTTCAATGTCTCAAAACATTGTCCTGTCAAAGGAAAAGTATGAGAGAAATGCTGTCAGGTGGTTTTGTGTTGCTTTAAATTGAACAGGACAATTTATTGTTTCATTTGTGGAATGATTCTGTGCCAGATCTTCATTGATGGTATCTGGTCTTTGTGTATGAGCTTGAGTAAAATTTTGATTTGATACTAGACCTTCCTGAAAATCATCTTTTCTCTGATAGTACTTGTGCTTTGGACAAGCCTCTCCATTGTCATAAGCTTTCTGATTTGGCTGATGATCTCTCTTTTGGGTTGGGGGGGTTGTCTTGCAGTTGGCTGATTGCGATTCTGGCTCAACTCAACCCTCTCTTTGGGCCGCAGTTAAGCAATGAAACAATCTGGTATCTTAAATCTCACTGGCCTTAAGGATGTCTGTCCTCGGCTGCAATTTGTTGACTAGGTGAGTATGATCAGATTTATTAATATATTTGGTATGTTTAAAGCTTCTGGAGAAATTGAACAGTAGCGTAAGCAGTGTGTTCAGAATTGCTAGCTGTTTTGCAGGAGAGATCTATCTTTCTGTAGGCTGCAACAAAACATATTTTGGATGTTAATCTTGACTGGACACCGTGAAAAGCTTGGACTGAATTCTTGTACGGTTATTTGTCTCTGCTATCATGCCATGTGGTGCTGTGTTCAGTAAGCAGGGGTTCGTAAGGAGAACAGCACATTTTTTTCTTCCTACAAAAAAAAAAAAAAATCGGGCTGGGGTGTCTTTTAATAGCTAGCATAAGTGGATTTCCTAATCTTTAACAATTGTTAAACCTTTCTTCAAGCCTGCTGCCGTTTCATCCAAGGCCTGTCCTGATTTCCAAGGCAATGTACGGTTGCCCTCGTTCATCTGGGAAGTCAGAGCGAGAACTGCAGTTGGAATGGTTCTTTATCTCCTGTCAGTGTATAGCGCTAACACTGAGCTTACAGATGAATGTTTCAGTTGTTTTAATGATAGCCTGTATGCGACTTCAATCATGGATGAGCCTGGCGGTTGCTATCTGGGTAGTGCTGTTGGAATGCTGTTGCTGCAGTTCTTGGGCATGCTTTCTGGCATGACCAGCAAAAATACCAAGTCTTGTACTAAAAGTACCACGATGACTTCAGGTTTCTCTAGAATGGCGGCGTTTGGAGCTGAAGGTTCAAATGAAGGACAGCTGTGGAAGGAAGTACCCATGACTTTAGTTTTTATGCTGGTAACTGAATAATTAGACACACTTCGGTTTTTTTACCTGTTTTGTTTTTTTTTGTCCTTTTAGGTTTAACTGCCTACCCCCTTGCTGTTACTACTTTTAACTTCTGTTTACAGAAGTCTAATAGCAGCAGACAGATGACAGTTGATGTTATAGCTCAGTTAAATGCTGTCTGCAGAGCATCCTGAACATTTACCCTGCAGCAAAGCTCCACTGCTTCAAAGTAGGCTTCATCTGAACCGTGGTGGTGTCAGCCTGCGGGGGGGGTGTGTGTGTCTGTATCCTCGCTTTTAAGCAACAAGCAGAAGCTAAAGGTAGACTTGGCCCTGCTTCAAGTAGAGGCCTGTAATTAGCTAAGTCAGTCAAGCTGAATTGCCTAGGTGCATTTTCACTGCTCATGTGTTAACACATAATTAGTTAGCGAAAACAGAGACCAGTGTATTCTGGTAATGGGCATACAGATCCCTGAATCCCATAGGATAATTCAGTTGCCTGGGATCTGAACTTGAAATGTAGTTATCTGGACAAGTAGATGCCTCGGATATAAAAACTGGGCTTCCCTCTGACTGATAAATGGTCTGTGTGTTTCAACCAGCACGGACAAACTGGAGTGAGGTACAGCTCTTGGACTCTAGGCACCTGCTAAAAGAATCAGGGCTTTCCCCCTCCCTTTCAGTGAAGGATTTTCCAGGGAACGGGAGGTAAATTTGTGCCAAGGAAGAGAGGGAACTAACGTGTTCTAGGATGGCCAGAAAGTTTATGTGAGGAGCTGTCATTTTCAAACTTCTTAATGGGGAATGAGACCTATATAGCGCACGCTGTTGTGTTATATGAAGCAGTGTGTTTTAACCTTGGATATGTCCAATTTCATTGGCTTGATTTTTGAATAAAATTAAGGTTTTTGTCTTTGTGAAAAAGAACGCTTTAAAAAAGTAAAAGCATACAACAATCCTCCAATACCATAGTTAAATACTATGTTCGTTCTTGCTAGAAATGTGCTATTGCAGGACATGCTGTTCTCCCCGATCTTGTTTGAATTACTCTGGTAGTGTTGAGCGAGCTGAGCGGCGAGGAGGTGGCTCCCTTGATCAGGCTGCAGCGTCCTGTCTTTTGCTGTTGTGTGCCTCTGCACTCAGAGCCTCCTGTGGAGTTTCTCACTAGACGGAGCTGTGAATTAGATTCCATCTGAAAGAGTTGCGTTCTCTCTCTGACACTGCACAGAATCCCATAAATATAGCTACCATTTCTCGTTTGACCAGTTATTTCTGGCTTTTGAGATGTGCTTTTCCAGCACTCAAGGCGCATGTACGATACTTTTTTCTGCCTCCCGTTTCTCTTTCAGTTGAGGTTTGGATGGATTAGTACGGACAATGCAAAGAGAATGACATGCTAACTCCCAGAGTGGAGAGATGTTACTTAAAAATGAGGATAGTCTAGGCAAACCCATTTTACTTGACCAACGGAGCAGGCTGAAAATGCACACAGGAGGCTACTGCGTTCTAGTGAGGAGCTTCTGCAGATGCCGACTTGATTGATCTATGCCAAATTACAGAAGTTTGGTCGGTCTTTTCGGTCCGTATCCCTCCAATTCAAGTGACGACAGCGTATCAGATGACTTGTCTATATAATCGAGTTAATGGCTTAGATGGCAGTCTGTAAGAACATGCAAACTTCTGTAGCCGTGGTAAATACGGGCTGTAGCCTCTTAAGCAATGTGATCTAACGCCGCCTTTTCTCCTTAACTTTGTCAAGTTACAGTCTGTGTTCTCAGACCAGGAATGTTCTTCATGCAAGCGCAAGAAGGGCTGTCGTGCAGATGACTGGATGCTGCCACAGCATTGAAAACTTTCTAGAAAAATAGTTGTTCCACCAGCTTATAACGTATCTAAAACTACTTGCAGTAACTTCAGAAATGAAACTGCTAAGGAACTGAGAAAGTAGAGATTATTCTTGAAGCTCCATATAGATGAATTATCTACAGTTCTTGACCATTTCTCAGTGCATTTGTGGAATGGAAATAGCTGTGGTTAACAACCAGGTCTTCAATTAGTAAATCGTCTCCATGGAAAGGAATAACTAAGTTGCCTCTTGCTTTGCAGGTAAAGAAGACATTTCCTCCAGATGAAAAACTCCACTGACCCAAAGGTGCCCTTAACATAGTTGGTTGGATACCAAGCCTGCATTAATGCCTTAACTTTCTATTGTCCTTCAAACGGCTTGTTCAAAGCCCTGTGTTTTTTCCTACTGTACTGTTTAACAGTGTGCCTAATGCTATTTATACTCCTCTTCGGTACTGTAAATTTTTGTCTGTTAACTTCCAAAATTTTCATCGAGTTTTTATGGGTCATAGTCGGCTTTCCTGTTCATGTTACTCCCTCTGTAGGAACACTGTATATATCTTACAGGTCTTAGGCTGTCTGTTGCTGTGCTGTTCACCCCTGTTCTGTTTGGCTGCACTTGGAAAAAATGTGTGCGATGAAACTGTATGAGGAGAGGAGAAACAGCGGTGCCAGATGTTGATGGCATTTGCTTTTTAAAATGAGTTGTATTCTTGGGAAATTTGGTCTTAATTTCTCATGCCTGGAAATAAAACTCATCCTCTGCTTTATACAAAACGTTCTTGTGCCATGTTTAACTGTTCCGACGTGCTTTTCTGTGGTTTGAATCAGGTGATAGTTAGCCAGAGGTGAGCTGAGGAAACTTAGGTGATGTGGATAAACTGTAATAAAGTTGTATGGTGTGGTGAGACGAGCTCACTAATCTAAAATTGCTGAAAGGTCTGCAGGAAGAAGCGAAGGCTTAGCTCGAGAGCCTCTTCTCCGTGAACTTCCCGTTGTCTGATACGAGGGGGACTCAGTAGCAGAGAGAACCTGAGTAGTCTGAATGAAGCGTAAATAGTAATTTCGATAGGAGATTGATTTACTCCCTGGCCTTTGCGGAGGATACATACAGTAACAAGCAATGTGGTTGTGATATTTCGATACAAGTAACGACGAGTAGCTTCAAAGGATATAAATACTACTGCATGCACAGGAGTCTTCATGTATACTTTCTTACCGCCTTACATCATGTCCAGCTAAACGGCAATTATTCCTTACTGTGTTTTATTGTTATGCATAAGGACGTAATGGAGCGGTTCATTTTTGTTCCTTTTTCCTTTTGGATAGCACTGCTAATTTGTTCAGCGGGATAGTACTCACTGCTACACGGGAAATTCCGAGATCCTGACAACGTGCTGTAACTTGCGGTGATGGAAAACTGGACAGCGTGCGTTGCAAAAGAAATGTGTCCATTATTACAAGGACGCGTAGCGACTGTTGGGACCGGAATAGGGGATTTATTCAAGTTACCTACTACTGAGAGCTGTGGTTTAACATGCAAGAAGCTGTACACCATAATGCTATGTAGTCTGTGGCAAATAATTCCGAAGAAAACTGGAAACCAAATGATCTTATAAAAGCTTGGGTGGTTGTTTAGTTGGTTTTTTTGAAGTGTGGAGGATAATGTATGTTGACATCGTATGAGGAGGGGAGGAGAAATGCTTCAAGACATTGTTGACAAGTTTGAATATGTAACAGTTTCTAAAACATATTGATCTGCCTGTCGTATCTACCCTAAAGTGAGACATCAAAAAGGAAAACATCCAGTGACAACAGTGGCATTAGTATATTGGTATTGTCACTTTCTTTAACAAGCTTTCTGGTTTCGGTTCTAAGCTGTCCCTCATTGCAGGAGATACAGGAGAGGTAAAGCACGGTTCACACGGCGTGTCTCGCTGTTGGTGCGCTTAATGTAAAGAGCTATTCAAAGCCTGGACAAACAAGCCATAGTTCAATTTTTATTTGCTTTCCAGTTAAAGAAATTTCCCTTTATCTGCATGGTTAATATTTTCTCTGAAACGGATGCCAGGCCGTAGCATGATGGAAGAAGCTGAAAAAATAATGTTTTGTTTCTGTTCCGCTGAGTGTTGTGTGACCTGCTGCCTGCATCGTGATCACGGAACGGCCGCTCCCGGTGTGCCAGGAACCAACGCTGCTGCAGATCGCTCCTTTTTTTGCACGGCTGCAGGAAATGGGAGCAGGCAGATTCGGCCACGGGTGTTTAACAAACAATGCAGGTATCAAAGCCTTTAACAGCTCACTCGTGCTTCGTGGCAACCGGAGAGGACGCGGAATGTTGCAG